TTTATGCTAGGCACTACAGCAAATAACAGCATCAAAGGGAACAACAAGATTAAAACTAGAGGACAAGGAAACAAAATAAAATAAAAACCAGAAAAGAAGTAGTGAGGAAGCCCAATTATGATGTCCTTTTTGGACAGAGTTGATAATGAGAAAAGGATATTTGCTGCTGGCACACCAGTTTTCAGCCACTTTGAATTTAAGAAGCTCTGGTGTTTGCTGTTCAGGCTGAGGAGAGTAGTGAGGTGATAGAGTGGGAAGGAAGAACTGACCAAGAGCTTTGATGTACAGGGAAATGCAGCATAGCTCTGTCCTTGAGGAATTCACAGTTTGGGCAGAGTAGTAGAGGATAGGAGATGAAAGCAAAGCATTGACTTGTACCGTGTGGTAAGTACAGTGAGAAGCACAGTTGTGATAATTATGCCTTTATCTTCAAATTTGTTCTGTTTTAAAAAGTAGAAGGTCCAAGGAGTAGAGAGTTCAGAATAGTATGAGAAGGCAACTTTCCGACAATGCCAGCAGTGGGAACTCTCAAGAAAAAAAGGCATTTAGTGTCCGAGATTTGAGGGCTGGGATAAATGAGTTCATAACAGTGTTATAATAGAGGCCGTGTCCTCAAATGTGAAATTAGACTAACTGGCCTGTAAGATGCTTTCTCACCCCAGCAACTGTGACCTTAAGTTCTTTCCTTTTCTTAGATCTATGCATGTCACCTATAAAATGAAAAATGGTCAAATAAAGCCTCCTCTAGTGCTAAGTGTTGGCGTGGGTGTGTAACTCTTATCTTGAGGGGAAAGCATAGCTGTCCTCAAGGAGTTCACAGTTTGGGCAGGCTGGTATCCCCATTACCATCACCGCCACAACAACAACAACAAAAAATTATAGTTATTCCTCATTTAACAACATAATTTGGATTTATAGCCTGAACTTACAACAACCTGCCACTCAGATGTAATGACCTAACCCCTCCCTTTTTTTAATAGTTGTGTGCATTTGCTTATAGAGCCTTGCTGTATTTTTTTAGTACAGTTATGTAATGTTTTCTTTCTTTCTTTGTGTGTGTGTGTGTGTGTGTGTGTGTGTGTGTGTGTTTGCTTTTGGGTACCAGGGATCAAACTCAGAACCTTGTGCTTGCCAGGCAGGTGCTTACACCACTGAGCTACCTCCCCAACCCTTACATAATTTCTTCTGATTGTACTGTATAGTATAGTTTTGTCTTCTGTTATATAGCATAGTACTGCATGTAAAAATTGTGTAAATAAAAGCAAAATCATCAAGTTGGAGTTTTCATTGACCATTTGTTCTAGATATTGTAGTGTACATATGTTCTATACAATTTCTCATTTAGCAACCAATGCACTCACTGACCTAGTTGAATAATGCAGAACAGTATTAAAGGGGAATGTCTGTACTTGGAAACAATGAAAGAAGATTTTGTCAGTTGCTCCTAAAGTAAAGCACATCTAAAATGACAAGACAGTGATTACCTGTGTGATAGCCATCTCTCTCACATGAAGCTGAATACAAATCTCAGCCATGAGACTGGATCATTTAGATTCCCAGATAAGACCCCTCCCTAACTTACTTTTGGAGAAGTGACACACCTCTAGATTGCTGAATAAGTGACAAGTTGCTACCTCCATTATAAAATCAGAAAATGATTGGAAAAGGGAATGAATTTTCTTCATAGTTGGAAAGGATTTAGGGAATAGCATATTAACAAAGATACATTATTAAAGCTCCAATATTTACAAATCCCCAAGAAGCTTTCAGGGATTTAGAGATTTAGTCTTTGACTTTTAAAACCAGCTTTCCATTGTCAGTCAAATAAATGAGCATTTAAAAACTACAAGAATTAGTGAGACAGGCACTTACATGCTGCTAGTGGACATTCTTAGCTATAATAAAAATGAAAATTTTCAAATAACCTGAATAACTAAAAGTAGGGGTAAGTTTAAGCGATTTGATGTATCTACATAATGGAATATCATAAAGATATTTGAGATGATATTTTTGAAGAATATATAATTATGTAGGAAAATGTTTATGACATTTAAGCCAAAGAGTAGCATCTAAAATGTTATATGCTACTTCACACCTTATATAAACATTAACTTAAAATGGATTAATGGCCCAGTGTGGTGACAACCTGTAATTCCTCCTACCTGGGCAACTGAGGCAGGAAGACCACAAGTTCAAGACAAATATAGGAATTGTGAGGTCTTCCCTCACAATTTTAAAAAGGCTTCAGTAGTACAGTGGTTGCATAGCATTCACAAGGACCCTAGCTTCAGTTCCGAATACCACCCCCCAAATTTTTTTTCAAGGATTTAAGTATGGGTATAAACAAACTTTTTTTTTTTTTTAATCGGAACTGGGGATTAAATTTAGGCCCTTGCGCTTGCCAGGCAAACGCTTATTCCACTGAGTCACCTCCCCTGCCCTCATGAAACTCTGTATTAGAAAAGACAAAGGTGGGGGCCGGGGAGATGGCTCAGTAGAATAAGCGCTTGACTGGCAAACACAAGGATCTGAGTTCAATCCCCAGTTCCACCAAAAAAAAGAAAAAAGAAAAAGAAAAGACAAAGGTAAATCTTCATGACCTTCAGTTTGACCATAGAGTCTTAGATATGACACCAGAAGTATAAGCAACAAAAGAAAAAAATAGGTAAGTTGAACTTAAAGTTTTAAAGATTTGCCTCAAAGGCATTATCAAGAGTGAAAAGACAACCCTTGGAATAGAGAAAATGTATCTGATCCTCTGTCTGATAAGGACATATAAAGAATTCCTATGACACAACAGCAAAAAGACAACCCAGTTTTTTAAATGGATAAATATTTGAATAGACAGCTCTCTGAGGAAGACATACAACTATCCAAGTGGCACAATTTTGTCTTTTTGAGACAGGGTCTCTCCATGCAATTCAGCCTGTCCTTGAGCTCACTTTGTAGCCCCGATAGTAGGGAGGGTGTGGAAAAATTTGAATCCTCAATGTGCAGCCATTGAAAAACAGTTTGGTGAGTCCTCAAAAATCTAAATCAAGCTGGGCATGTAATCCTAGCACTTGAGAGGCTGAGGCAGGAGGATCGCTATGATTTGAGGCCAGCCAGCCTGCATAGCAAGACCCTATCTCAAAGAAAAAAAAGTCTCCTAATCTAAATCTGAGCCAAGTTTCATACCTGTAATCCTGTGTATTTGGGAAGATCACAAAATGAAGGTCAGACTGGGTAACAAATTCCAGAAGAATTGAAAATAAGGATTTAGATATTTGTATACCATTTTTCTGGGGGCCTGCCCTATAGCTCAGTTCTTTAAGTGGCTGCTTCCACAAAGCAGTCAGGCTCAGGTTGCTGTGGTTCGATCCCCACAACTCAAGCCAGCCAAACCTGCCCTGAAGGCATTCGGAACGAAAAAAACAACCATTTTTCTTTGCCATTGTTCACAGTAGTCAAAGAAACAACCCTGGTGTTCTTTATTAGGTGACTAGATAATCAAGATGTGGGGTGTATATATGTAAAATGGACTATAATTCAGCCATAAAAAGAATTAAGTTCTGAAACGTTTTATAACATGATTGAACCTTGAAAACAATGCTGAATGAAAGAATCCAGGCACAAAGAACAAATAAAAAGTAAGCAAAACCATAGACTGAAAGTAGATTAGAGGGGCTGGTGAGATGGCTCAGTGGTCTAAAGCACCTACTCAGAACAAGCTTGGCAAAAACAAAGGGACAGCGGTTCAATCCCCCAGCACCACATGCCAGCCAGCCCCGCCCCCTGGTGGGCTGAGCTGGCCACACACACACACACACACACACACACACACACACACAAATAAATAATTTAAAAAGAAAGAAAGAAAGTAGATTAGAGATTACAGGATAGGTGTTGGAAGAGTGGAAGATTATTCATGGGGGGGAACTATCCGCTCAGGCCCCCCTCCTGTCCCTCTCTTGGACAGGAGCTTTCTTTCCCTCAATGAATATGTTCTGCTTATAAAAAAAAAAGAAAAGAAAAGAAAAGAAAAGAAAATTTTTCATGGTTACAAAGTTTCTGTTTAGAGAGCCCACCCCCGGGGCACACTGAGATGGCAATTGAGACGGGGTGTAGTGGTGCGTGCCTGTAATCCCAGCTCTTGGGAGGCTGTAAACAGGCGGATCACTAGAATCCGCCTAGTAGTGAGACCCTGAACACCCTGTAGACCCTTCCCTAAAATACAAAAAAAAAAAAAAGTTTCTGTTTGGGATGATGAAAAGGTTGTGGAAACAGATGCTAATGATGGTGCACAATTTTGTGAATGTAATTAATGCTACTTAGTGTACATTCAAATGGTTAAAGTAGAAAACTTGATTATTTATTGCATTACAACAGAAATTTCATTTTTTAGAAAATTATTTTTAAAAACCTATACACACTATGCTACAAAGAACTGGAATTGACTTGTACATGCTCTTGGTAGCTGCCTATGGCATCTTCCCAACTCTTTATTTACTCATTGATGTTGTTGCGTACCTATAATCAGCACACAGGAGGGTGAAGCAGGAGGATTAGAAGTTTGAAAGTAACCAAGACTACATAACAAGACCCTGTACTATCTCATAAAAAGCATATTAATTAGTGTATCTGGAAAAATAAATGCCAAATTCTTAGTGTATTTACTGCTGAGGAAGAGAGTAGTGTTATTGCAGTAGGAATGTGAAATTAAACATTTTTACCTCATATACTTCTGTGTTATTTCCTTTTTTGTTTGTTTGTTTACATTGAGAATATAGAAATACTTCATGTGTTGTGAATGGACCAGAAAATCTGCATATTTTGGGTTGTGATATGGCTTAGTTTTTTCTTGAGAGTCTGAAACTGGTCATATATACAATCTGAAATGGCCTATGAAGAGATGAAAGCCATGCCTGGGACTTGGATTCTTCTATTTGCTCAGAAATCTAGTTTTTGTTTGTGTTTTGTTTTGTTTTTGCCTAAGTAAGCCTTTTCTTGTGTCTTTATAGGTTACCCCACAGCCTACCCGGCAGCTGCCCCTGCCTACAATCCAAGCCTGTACCCAACCAATAATCCCAGTTATGCTCCAGGTAAGCAGAAATGTGGGCAACAGTGGTGAATGGTAAGGGAGATAGAACTTTATTTGGAAAAACAAACCCACCTGCTGGCCTTTTCCTGTCCTTACTTGCTCTGGGCTCAACCTGTCCTGGCTTGATTTTCCTAGGAGTCCCCTTTGGGTCCTAGGGCAGATCATCCTCAGGGTGTGGGTGGGAGCAGAATCTATAGGCTCTTTGGGAATTAAGGATGGCCAGTCTCTCCTGTTCTGGAATGTATGAGATATCTTGCATCTTCTTCACAGAACCTTTCATACTTTTCTTAGAACCTGTTTAGACTTTTCATACCTATTCTTTGCTCAGTTTCCCCTGAGGCTGTGAGTGAGAAATGTGCAAACACACATGCAGCAGACTCCTCAGGTATAAATGTGGAAGAAAGTGAGAGACTTGCCACTATGGATTAGAGGGCTGCTTTCAAGCTGAGACAAGCTACATGTTTTTCCAAAATAATGAAAGCCCATTATTTCTTGTATAGAGGTTGAAATAGGTTGGAGAATACTGGAAAGGCTTATTCTATTTTGGGCCAGGAGCATTGCAGAGGTCTTATATGAATCCTAAGCTCTTTGCTCAGCAAGAGCTTTACACTCAAAGAGCTGGGAAAGTATAGTCTGTGTGATTAGAAAGCCCTTGGTTTGGATCCTGATTCCCCAGCTCACTGGTAAAGCATTAAGCAAATTACCTCCTCTGAGATTCAAATACAATATTACTACCAATTTCAGGGTGATTGATGGCTTTAGGTAAGCTCCTTTTCATTTAATTGACAAGTATGTACTAGTTTTATTTGTTTAATGTCCTCTGTAGTGGTGTAGAAAAATTCAGATGCCATCTTTGCCTAAAGTAGTTCATAGTCCACTTTAGAGCATAGCAAACAAATTTATTGCAGTACAGTATAAGTATTATAAAAAGGATACATATTAGAGGAGAGGAGGGACTCAGAGTCTTCCAGGGGATGGATATACTATACAGATGAACCTTCACAGAAGAGCTTGTGAAAGAAACGTGAGGGAAAAGAAGGAGATTTTCCATTAAAGCATAAAAGAAGTGGACCTTTCAGGCCAAGCAGAGCATGACAAAGCTGTGGAAATGTGGAAACTGTTAGGAAACTAGAAGTGCAACAATGATTGAAATTGTGACTGAGGCTAAATGCATCTGAACTACAAATTCAAAAGGGTCAGATATCATTTTCTTGTTTTTATAGTTATGATAAAACTAGAAATCTTGAAAAGACCTCACACCTTCTCTAGTTCAGTGTTCTCACTTGACAGCACAGATTGAAAGAGAAGATATGTTTTGTTCCGTGTCCAGTGAATCTCCAAGAGCTTAGAAAATAGAATTCTTGACAAATGTCTTATGTCTCAATCCCTGCTTTTCTGTGCCAATCATTCTACTTTCATTTCCTTTCTTTTAGGGTGACTAAAGCAGAGAAGGACATGGGGTACTTCTAAAGACCTAGGTTAGAGTCCTGAAACCATAGCATAACACCCCCACCCCACACACACACAGCGAAAGTTTTCAGACATCTCCCTCTTTTTTTGACAAAGAGCTGTCTTATGCAAATAAATTATATTACATAGACTTGTTATGAGACAGGCATTTATTTTGACCCTGTTATGTCTGAGATACTCTGGAAGACACTGTGAGTGATTCAGACTTTAGGAAGTTGCCTTCACTATAAGAGTTTATAAAGGGGGCTGGTGAGATGGCTCAGTGGTCTAAAGCACCTACTCAGAACAAGCTTAGCAAAGCAGAAGGACCGCGGTTCGATCCCCCAGCACCACATGCCAGCCAGCCCCGCCCCCTGGTGGGCTGAGCTGGCCACACACACACACACACACACACA